AAATGCTTTTAATGCATTATTTGCTACAGTTTGAGAAATTGCATTCAATTTATAATAAGTAACCACAGTCAAACCTGTATTAAGTGGACCCCCTACATGTATTAAGCGGACACCCTCTATTAAGTGCACAACAGTGCAAGTCCCATTTTTCTTTTCCTACATTCACTGTAAGAAATATGTGTATTTAAAAGACGTCTCTATTACGTGGATGCAGACTCCTTAAACTTGAGTTTTACGGTCATTTCTATTGTTAGAAACCTGTATCAAACGGACAGTGCAAAAAGAATGCAAGATTTTTTTGTCCACGTTTTAGTAGATCGGTCATTTAAGTTTGCCAACAAACTGAGCTGTCACAGAAATGCAATATTTTGTTATTTGGTTTTGTTTTTACAAAACGTTTGTTCTTGTTTGATTTTGTAAACCTTAACATAATTCGATCAATATAGATACTGTTACTGTATACTTAAATCACTTTACCTCTTGTCATTGTTTGTGGAAATATGGCATTTCAGAGTTATCTCGATCGTTCACGAGAATCCTATTTGTCCCTTTTAAGGTCTTTAATACTGACCAATATTGATATGACTCTTTTAAGATGAATTCTGAACCTGTTTTCAATTCTGAATTCGGGAATCAGTTTTCAGCGGACACCCTGTATAAGTGGACACTAGCAAGGGTCCTGAAGGTGTCCACCTAATACAGGTTTGACTGTATGTACTTGTTGTGTGGATTTCATGGAAATAGTGTTGACTATGAACTCTGTTCAGGAACTAGTGGTGTAGAGGGAGCTAGGAGAACTAGATCTTTGTAAGGTACTCAGCTCTCCTTGAAATGGGTGGATAAGGCTAATCATGTTTTGTTTCCCTTTATTGTTCCCTGTTTTTAACTTCAATCTAAGATCAAGCCCATTCAGGAGGTAGAAGAAGTAAGAAATTTTTGACAAATTGAAACTTAGAGTGTAGATCAAGCAGTGGCAGATCCAGACCCTGAGCTAAGGGTGGGGGAGGGGGAGGGTTTTTTTTTTCGCTTGCCCTGCCAGCTTTTCTTCTTTCTGCAATTTTTTTTCCCCAAAATAAGGGGGTGGGCAGGCCCCTCCCCTAGATCTGCCACTGGATCAAGTCATTGAATGTATTTCTGTATCAATAGCCCTTTTCATGGTTAACATTAATCATTTGCATTTTAACAAAGTAATGTCAATGCAAGGTAATTTCTTGAAAGCAGAAACTAAAAAGCTGCTAGAAATTGCCTCACATCTGGTTTGGATCATATGGTAATGCAAATTAGAAAAGTTAACTGTGAAAGGGCTATTACAGTATGTTGTTCAGGGAAAGAAATATCAGTTTTGGCAAATCGTGAAACAGTCATAAATATTCTGAATTTTTTTATTATCCAGTCAAAGTAAAAGTTTTGCAGTTCTAAAGTCCTCAAGTCTGGCTCGTCTGGTGCCAGAGACTGGCATTTGCCATTAACTGACCAGCACTTGTTCTTACAACTGTATATGAGACTACCTTCAATGATGAAGGTGCGTGTGCAAATTATCGTGAGAACTTTATAACACATTTGTCTCTTGATTACAGTTACTCAGACTTGAGATTAATTGATATTCCCAGTCTGAAGAGATCTCTTCCTTTAACAATAACCGAGCTCAGGAAAAATGCTCACAAAGCAACTCAGCATGGAGTGAGAACACTGTTAGACAAGTGGATCCCAACCTGTGTGAAGATCATCAGTGACAGAAGAGATGACATTGAGGAATGGATGCCTGAAGATGAGGTAATTGAGTCCTAAGCATGAACAACCGTTCTAAATTCTCTTTTAGTAATAGCGATTCATTGTAAGGCTGACTGGTGATGTTGTGCACTTGTAGGTAATATTTTTGTGTCACTGGCAGTAACCCAGAACTTTTATGGAATTATTTGTCACTCCATCCTTTATTGTTGCCCAGAAAATTGATCAAGCTCTGTTAAAGTATTGTCAACAACTATTTGTGCATGTAGGCATAGGGAGGCATTTTAAGAATACAGTGCATTGTCCAAGATCAGAACAGAAGGACTACACCCAGGGACCTCTGAATTTTGTGGCTAAACTAGAAGCCTGATAGGCCTACCATGCTTTATGCATCAATGACCGGGAGAGGACCCAAAGCTGCATCTTGTAGATATCAAGCCAGACCATACGCTAACCTTGGCTAGGCCAGTATTTATGTTCCACAGTTGCTTTCATTTTAAAGTACTCATTCTTGGTTAATAATTTTTTTTCGCACCCTTTAGCAATCCAGAGTGGAGAAGATGGATCATTTCTTCAGCTCAGTTTCCTCCCTGATGTCGCTCAATCTTCACAGTGCTGTGTATTCTTCCATTGACGACCTAGTACAGTTTATTGAAATGTACAAACTTGGAAATGATTTTACCGGACACTTTGAAAGAAGTCTTCCTGTACTACCACAGCCAATTACACTCACAGTGGTAAGACATCATTTTATCTCTCCTTTCTTTAAGAAAAAGAAACATTTTGTGTGCTTCTGTCAAGTTTTAGAAACACAGGTGGAATTTGGGAGAACCAGAAATTATGTGGGAACATTGGTTGATAGCTCATGTATTTTCTTTGGGCTAAAGAACAATAGAAAATATTTCATAACCGACCAAAATCCAGCATGTTTTATTGTAAAGTTCTGTTGTTATCTCAATCTATACACACACTGGAACTGATGCCACATAATCATCTCACCCTTCCCGCTCTTGCTGGCTTACGATTTCTTTTTGCACGCAATGCGGTCCTATGTTATTGTTCTCTGCACGCATTGCGGTCCTACGATGCTGTTCTCTGCATTTATTGAGGAGTGGTAGACATTTCCGAGTTGTCTTTCTCGTCTGTTTCAAAATAATGCCTGGTGCACAACTTTTCATGTGGATATGAGCTTTATTTGCATGTTTTTCTGTCTGCAGTTCTAACTTATTTTCAAATGAATGGTTATGCACATGCACCAAGTCTTGTTTGAAAATCAGTTCAAAATTGGCTTGTCACTCTCTTTAAGAACATAAATGAATGATAACCTTACAAGTTAGCAACTGAGAATCCTGCATTTTAACATCCTTTTTCCTGTTAGTAACAAATATTTGTGGACATCTCATGGTTTTATTATTAGGTTCCTGAGGTAGAAAAAGTGACAGTTGATTTTGAGCCAAATTTCTCAGACGTGACTGAGACAATACATGAAATCATTGAACACATGGTGAAAAGTGTGCAAAACTTCCAGTGTGTTGAACACCAGTTGTTTTATGAAGATGAAGGACTTAAGAAGCGTCATATCAGCAGTGTACAACTTGATGAAGAAAGAGTACTGGCAGCGAAGGAAAGAGTGGCTGATGTCGTGGAGAAAAACAGTGCTGGGCCTCTCAAGTAAGTTGCAATGTTGTAGTGTCATTACTGTGGCTGTACAAAGTGATCAGAGGAGGACAGTAAATGGTAGTAACGTGAAAAAGCTTGGCTTCTTTTTATGTCCTGGTGCAAGTAATGTAAAAAATCAAAGCAAAGCAAGAGGCAAAGGATTGTAGGCAGTTGGCCGTATACAGATGATTGGGGGAGTTTTCCCACTAAGGTGTTACAGTTAAGCGTTACTGGCATACTTCTTAATATAGCGAACCAAACTCAGTCCAAAACTTAATTACAAACAAACATGGAGTTTTATGAGTGAGAAAAACAGTGGCCTAGGTAATGGTTAGTACCGTTGGAATTTAGAGCGAGAGGCCTGCGTTTACGTTGTGTTAAATTTGGTCAAGGAACGTTATTCTGAAGTGTCTTGATAGCACAACTGTTGTAAATATTTTTGAAAACACAACAACGCTTTTCAGTTTTCGGGACATGTTTCGATGTTTCAAACATCATCATCAGCCATAATGAATATATAAGGTTTACAGAAAGATCATTATTATAT